GATAGATAGATAGATAGATAGATAGATTGATAGATAGATAGATAGATAGATAGATAGATAGATAGATAGATAGATAGATAGATAGATAGATAGATAGATAGATAGATAGATAGATGGCAGTAAATGCAGCACTGATGCAGGACCTGCTGCCTTTCTAAAAATTAATTAAGATATTCTAAATATTTTTTAAAAATCTGGATAATTAAACAAAATGTCTCCCAAATACCTGATGAGGTGACGATCAGGGTGAATATTTCTGAGCTGAAACCCACAAAAAAAGGCCAATACTAGATAGCAGCAGACCTTCTCTTCTGTCTGCAAATCTTGTGAAAACGTGGAGTTTCTGTTGACTGTTTCAGTAAAGCAGTTGAGCTTTCTTGGGGCTCGTTCGGGTTTCACTCACCGATTTGAAGTCGCAGAACTCGCTGGCGGCCAGACGGGCGATCTTCTGCTCGAAGTCGTGCATTTCCTGGGCGGTCAGCACGGCCAGCCGGCGCACCTCCTGGTACGGCCACAGGGCGCCGCACTGCTGCAGCGTGCCCTCCTTCAGGGCCGGGCACTTAAACTTGAACAAGCCCTGGAAAGTCAGAAGCCTCTGGCATCAGATCGCCACTTAAACCATGACAGAAGTGTCAAATCAGTCACGTTTAAGAGGAAACCTGCGTTTCTGTGTTTATCGCCACCAGGGGGCGTATTTAATTTTGAGTTCTGTGTGTCTAATGGGGGATGGGTTGTTTATTAAGGTCTACCATGATTGTGTTCAGGTGTTGTTGATAAGAATGGGCAACAGTTTTTCTACTGTGTTTTAGGTTGAGGTTTCGATGTCAGAATGTAGGTGAATTGCGACGGAAATAGCAACGATGGACATTATGCAAACAATAAACGACTTTATTATAAATCAAAACAAAGACTGGCATCCGGAATTCTTAATAGAGCACACGTAAGACCAACGCCTTCAACTGTCAACAACTAGTAGCCTAAAATACAGGATTTTAGCCGCTACACCCATAAAGGCTGAAATGCCTTTTTTTAATTTGGGACTTCAAACATTTTTGCCTGTAAAGTTACAACAACATGGTGAAAACTTGTAAAGCCAGTTTGAGATACGAAACACAAACAGGTGAATCTGTAAAGTGTGAGCTCTAAGCAAAGAGAGTATTTCCAGGCTCCTATTTCACCAGGTTTTCACATAAATGAGAAGAGACGGCTTTCAGGGACAGTGAGTGAAAGAAAAAAACAAGATAACTGTGTAAGATGACAGCTTAAACTGGCAGTGAGGACACTTAAAGACCACGTTTGTTGACAATAATTCACTCAGG